TAAATGTGTAAATGTCTTTTTTCGGTGGACAACGTTAATGACATTCACTGTATATCACATTGAATGCTTACGTTCTGGGTCGTAGTTTTTGTTTTTAAAAAAAATAGCCATCACATAAACTACTGGACAACCAGTCATGGTGTTTTCAACCATCCACAAATAAACTTTCATCATCATCATCATCATCACCGCCACCGCCACCGCCATCACCACCATCATCATCATCATCACCATCATCATCATCATCATCATCATCATCAACAACAAGATGTTTTTATGCTTAATTGGTATTAATGAGAGATGTACATATTTGCCTGTCATCGATTAGCTTTTTTTTGTCTCGGGAAAATCATCTTCTTGTTCTTACTCTTCGACAAAACTAGGAATCAGTGGATCGGTGCGCAAGCTTAGAAAATGATCTATTATGGAAAGTATATCAAATCAACCATTAAGAAAAATGTGTTTCACGTTCGCGGGATTTTTTCTACGCTTCCTATCAGTGTGCGCAAGCGAGATTTCAACTTCCGTGAGGTAACGCGTCAAAATCGTCTATCTTAATCAAAACACGGCACGTTTCTTCCAATCTACCCAGCTGATCTGAAATAGTGACGTAGAAATAACGTCACTGCAATTAACCAAGGTGTCATGACTGAAGCCTTTGAACATCGATCAACAAAATATAAAAACATGGCTGCCATTGGAATAATAATGATAATAATAATAATTCATTAAGCCAAAATCTAAATTTCTAAGGCGATTTACAATAAAAATTATAATAAATATCTATGTATAATAACAAAAAGACGATTAATATGTATGGTAAAAATAATAATAATGGTAATGATATAATGAAAAATATAGAAAATTAATACTAATATTGTAAATGTATAAATAAATTATAAAAAAGATAAACGTTCTAAATGTCACTGTAAGCTCGTTTGAATAAAAATGTTTTCAATCTTAATTTAAATTCAGATAAGGTGATACTAGTCCTGATATGCAAAGGTAACGTGTTCCAGAGTTTACGTGCAGAAGCTGAGAACGCCTTGTCGCCATAGGTCTTTAAATTTGTAGATGGTATTTTCAATAGACATTTGTTTGCTGATCTTAGTTGTCGGGYAGGAGTGTGCTTTTCAAGTAGTTCTGTAATATAGCTCGGAGCAAAACCATTTAATGCAAACAATAACAATATAAGACTCATGAATTATTGTGTCACAGTTATCAAGAGCGCATTAGCAGCGTTATTTTTTATTTTATTTGGTGGCCAGGAAATCCGTGATTGCAAGAGAAAAAGTGAGACCTCAGTTTTGAACATTTTCTCGATTCTGATGGGCTAACATTTTTTATCAGATTAGCTGTACGAAATTAAACAGTAATGATAAAAGGGTAAATCTTACACCGTGAAAAGATTAAGAAAAAAAAAAAACAACGAAAAAACTTACTAAAGTTGTTAATTTATAAGTTTTTTCATCTTTTCACGGTGTAAAATTTACCCTTTGATCATTACTCTTTCATTAAAAACATCGACGCAGCTCTCACTAGTTTTTTGCTAGTTATCTCTTCTTGTACGAAATTACTTTTATCCCGAGCTCAAGATATGTGACCACTTGTTCTTATAAAAGGTTTTTTTTTTCAGTAATCGCCACGTTGGTTGAATATGAAAAAAGAAAAATCGTTCTTGCTAAATTCACAAATTATTGTCTCCATGGCAACCACTAGATTGATTGATAGCTAGATTGATTCTTGTAATTTCCTTCAGTCTGGTCGCTGATTGGCCTATCTCACATGTTGTTTCTTTCTGTGTGTACTCAAGTAAACCCCTCCTTTAGGTTGTTCAATGCACATCAAACTAACGCACGTCTATTAAATTGAAACATCTCTCCCGTGCACTGAGCGCAAATAAACTGCCACATAATAGCTTTTTAAGTACTCTCTATGATCTAAGAATCTTACCCTAATGTTTGGGAAAAAGGCTGGCCGTGGCAGGTGATTTTGGCATAAAGTATTGTCGTCGGTAATACTCGCTTGATCCTAGCTCACTATTCTGTACAAAGCTACTCTACATTCTGTCTTTCACGTGCTATCGTCCCACGTTCTATGTCGAGAGTACAGGGATTGCTATCTGTGAATATACTTCTTGGTAAACAAAGATCTCTCGGGTGAGTTGGATATTTAAAAAAACATGCTCCAAATTGTTTGGCACAATCTATAAATTTATTTATCTTGCATCCGAATTTCAAAAAAATAAATAGATGATCAAATTTCGCCTACATCTTTTCGTGTTTTGGGATTTTATAAAACGTTCCAATTTCAAGAGAAAATAGTAAGGATTTTTAAAATAGTCAAGAAAGGGTTCTCGACATGTCAATCTTCATCAGAACCTCAGTATCTTTTGATACTTTAATTGCTTTTACACTTTGGGCGTTCATATTATGACTAATTGACTGGCTTTAGCGTGATGGTAGCCGTTGCAAAATTATATTGGGCTATCCGCTAAATACATAAATATCAGCAGAACCTGATGGATAGATTGTCTATGAAGTTTTATTAATACATTATGAAGGCTTTTTCTGGGGAAAACGCCGGCAATGAATTCATTTTTTTTTTTTTTTT